GTGTGTCATTTTGTGGCGCTTCATATTGCTTTGCTGGGTGAAGGATTTGTTGCAGAAGTTGCACTGATATGGACGCTCGCCGCTGTGTACGGCATAATGTCGCTGCAGGTTAACCGCCTGTGCAAAGGCCTTGGAACAGATGTTGCACACAAACGGCCGCACATCGTTGTGCACCTTCATGTGCCGATCCAGATTGCCACTGTTGCAAAAACTCTTGGCGCACAGTTTGCACTCATAGGTAGTTTTGTTATGGTTGTGCACCTCCTGTCGATGGAGCGTCTGATCGCGTTTACTTGTAAACATCTGCGGGCAATATTAAATATTTGTAAATAAGTTGTTTATTCGCCAAGGCGAGTGAAACCTACTCGGTCGCAACGTTTGCAGCTAAACTGATTGACCACAATCTTATCGAATTCCACCGGGATGCCCGCCATTTTTGGCGCTGCTACAACATCGATCCGGTGCGGTTTTATATCCTGAATCGTACTTATTGGAAATAACAGATCCATATAGAGTACAAGTGCACTAAAACTTACTTTGATTTGCCTAATTTCTATATAAATTTTTCGCGTCTTGTAGAAAAGTCATATGGTAGTAGAGATGAGAGCTAGATATCAATATATCGTTTTATCTGCATAGTGCACACGGATTTCCATGAATTATATATCGATATTGTGCGATATATCGGCTGAAACAATTCAGGTTAATATTAATATTTCCTGAATAAATAGGTTTATTTTTTCAGTTGATTTATGCTTCAAATAATGACTTTTATTGAATGTAACGATAAAAACTTGTAGTTCAAAACAATTTAGGAATTTATGATTATTTTGACAATAATGAACTATCGTATTTACAAAAATGTGACTATCGCTTACTTCAAAAATCTACGTCTTCAGATTCAAAGAAGAAGCATACATGTTTGCCGCCATACTAAAATTTCAAAATTCATCACAATCAACAATTTGTAAGACTTCGCAAATACTTATAACACAGCTCCAATACAATTCTATAAAGTCTAATAATTCAATTTGTGTTATGCTTGACAGTGATGTAACCCATCGATAGGTGTGTGGCGTAACCTTCACAATGTATCATTCTTGTGAAATAACTTTTGACGGATGCAACACGATATATCGTGGGCAAATATAGACACATTTGACTCTAATAGTTATTATCAGCATCTTATACAATTTTATGTATAGTATTTGTTTGTTTTCCCGCTCTAGAGTTGTGACCGTAACAAAATAAGTAATAGATAAGTTTATGCAACAGCTGTTCTGTAACTAATCGCTTAGTTAGCAGATGTTAAAATCAATTTCCAATCATATTTACCGTTTTCGCCCAAAACTGACGCTGGATTGGAAAATTATCTTGCATCAAATCGCTTTTTATATAATTTTTTATATAATTGCATTTACCAAGTCTACGTTATATAACTCAAACACGAATAACGCCAGCTTTTCCAGGAAAATTAGTTTGCTCTGTTAATAGCATTAAGGCAAATGTTTAAGTTTTTAGGGTGCCCACATATTCATTTTAGTGTTGATTTGGAGCTAAAAATCAAGAAGAAGCATAATTAAGAAGGAACACAACTCCTGGCACACACAAATGCAGAGATAACTAAGAATTTGTATTGTTTTGTGAGTAAGAGACGTACCAAGTGCAATGGCCACCTATTCCAACCAGCACTGGCTTCTCTCGCACATACGCAACTCGTTCATCTCCACGGATGACACGGGCATATGCGAGACCGTAATGCTGAGCGACGATATGCCGAAGCATTATCTGAGGAAATTTCAAGCTGCCACAATTATGGATGTCTATAGGCGTAGCCACCGGAGCCAGGCATCGCAGCAGCGCAAGTCGATGCCCAAAACTCCAGATACTGCCACGCCTACGCAACGGTCTGCGCCACTGCAGCACATGATGCCACCCAGGATCGCGGATCCGCCGCTGCAGGAAGTGGACTTTGTATGCTATCCAGGTCTAGATCTGAGCGATGATGAGGATCTGGATATGTCCACGCACTCGTTCGACATTCAAATGTATCCCGAAGTGGGCGCCCATCGATTTCGCTCGAACACAGCACAGAAACTGGAGAAATTGGACATAGCGAAGCGCAAGGCGGCGCGAATTAAAAGCGTTAACTACAATGAGGAGGTGCTGCCACCGGACCGCAAGGACTTCTTCAAGCGCAAAGAGGTTAAAGAGCATCCCACAGAAAAACCCTCCACTTCAAAAACAACTGCAACAAATGTGAAGCGTCCGGAAAAAACCAGCGATGACGACCTCTCCGATGAGGGTGTAAAGAGCATGCTGACGGAACAGCTAGCCAGAAGCCCCAAACAGACCCAAAATCGTTTCATTGAATACGCTCGCTTTGATGGCACCGCCCAGGTGGGCATGCCCACAAAGCGCATCAATGTCTATGTAAATATGCTGCCCGAGCCGGAGCGCAATTATCCGCTCAAAATCTGTGTACTCTCCACGGCCAAGATCATTGAGGTGATTGGCCTGGTCTGCTACAAAACTACCCTACAGTATCCAGATGCAGTGCAGCTCAAGTCTGTGCAGCACTATGCATTATATATGACGGAGGATAACGATGACATGGATGATTTTCCGCCGCTGGACAATCGGGAGCCTTGTTCCAAATTTGGATTCTCGCATTTGACGTTGGCCGAACGCCGACCGCTGGCGCCGGTCACGCGCATTGACTATCACAATCAGCTGGGCACCAAGTCTATGACTTCAGAGGAGGACAAGGTGGCGATGGCGGATGCTGCAGTGCGTGCGCTGCAGAACATCAATTTGAATGGGGACGTGCCCGACGCCAGCGGGGGAGATGGCGGCGGCGAAAGCCCCCTAGACCATGTTAAGGAGTATGAGCAACGCCTGCTTAACCACAACGATATGCTGGAAGCGCCAATGCATCGGACCTATCGTGTTAGCATCATCGACAAGCGTTTTTTCAAGTGCGACGTAACGCTGGCCGTATCCGGGGAACGCATTGAGATAGATCAGCATAAGAATACCAAATTTTGGACGCAACGAAAGCCGGTGTCTACGCCCATCGATATGGTGGCGCACTGCGAGATTGTGGAGCAACGGCAGCTAAAGGCACTGCTGCGTATTTGGCTGAAATCCAACTCTTCCAGCAGTATGACTACCAGCTGCACCTCGGCACCCAGTACTGCCAGCATTGCCACACTGATCCCGGGCAGCGGCAGTGCGGGCCTTATTCATTCGCCCGCCAGCCCCCGTCATCAGGCAACGCACAGCTCCAGTTCGCCCTTTGGCCTCTTTGGCAGCGCGTCTAACATTCGATTTAAGCACTACGACTTCGATACGGACGTGCACACGGCCGAGCAGATACGCAACAAACTGAACTGCATTCTGGAGATGCGCGCCAGCGATATACGACGTGAGTTCCTGCAGCAGCGCGAACGCAAACAGGAGAAACAGCTGGCCAAGCGGCAGCTTAAGTTGTAGTATTTTGTTGCTAAGCTGGCCATGCTGCGCCTCGCCTCGAGCTGCTTGTGTGCCGCCTAGCGTGCAGTGGACGTAACTCTGAGGCCATCCTTGTCTGACGCCGGCTAATCAACTCCCATTTCCCATCCCCGCCCCGCTCCCTCCAAACCCGTTGAAGTTGTATTTTAGTTGCTAACCTAAAGAGCGTGTGTAACACACGTTTCGCATAGCCTATAAGTATTTATTCAAACACTTAAGTAACTAAAAAAAAAACAAATCCGAAGTGCAAAATGAAAAATAAATAGCATCAAAGTTCACAATTATGCTGAAAGACAAACTGTGCTATCAGCTTCCACTTTATTACTGTAAATTGTGTAATATTAGCAACAACAATAGGCACACACTGACACTGATTCTCTCGCCTTCGCCTTCGCTTTTAGCTGCACTTGTTCCCCAGCCGTATTTGCGAGCATGCTTAGTAGCCTGAAAAGCGCAATGGGCTATTCACATAAGAAGCAACGCTGATCGTTGGCAGGCAAATCATATCCAAAGTACCTTTAGGATCAGCTGCGTCGTTCGTTATATTTGCAACAACAACAGGCATACACTGACAGCGATTCTCTCATCTTCGCCTCTGGGCTGCACTTGACTACCCAGCAGAACCCGCGGACGTGACAGCAGCATCGTTTAATAGCGATCGTTGGTAGCAGCTCTTTGCGTTACGAATGCCTATGCACATTTTAAAATGTTCTGCTGGGTCGTGTCTCTCTCTTTCTCTTTCACTCTTCCTCCCTTCCTTTCCTGCTGCCGCACAAACGCGTACTCGGGCTACTTCCGCATTTGCGGCTTCAATTGTAGGCGGCTGGCGCGCGACTTTGAAGCGTTTTACTGGCGTTTTGTGCGCGATTAGCGTTTTGTATTTCCGTTTGGCGCGGCTCGTTGACATTGCAATTGTCTGTAATCAATGTGCAATTAATCTAACAGACCCCCAGACGGGGCCGGGCCGAGCTAACGGGTATTTTGTTATTGCTATTGTACCCATAAGTATGTTTTGTCGTTAGACTTGTGTTTTATTTATAGTTTTGCAATGTCAGGCAGAATCTCTGTGAATGGGCGGGCGGTACCTAGGGGCGGCGACAGCTGTTAAGCTTATTAACAGCTGCTTTTACATGATGCCGTTATAATTATGATAGATCTGTGTGAACAGAGCAATAAGATATATAACGATAAGTCATGAAACGTTTGTTTTCGTTTCGTTCTATGTAAGGCCAAGGCTGCTAAAAAAACAAAAGCTCACTATTGCGACTTCACTGGCAACAATTGACATTTGAGGTCAGCAGTGCTAATGGCGATGATGATGATGATGATGACAATAATGATGATGATTATGATGATGCTGCTCACTGGCGTGACTATATAAAGTCAGCGCAAACAAGTTCATCAAATGAATCACAATACACAATGATTGATATCGATATGAAAACGAAATTGGAAATTCGGTTGTATTTTAGAAATCTGTACATTACTCAATTCCAAAACTTCTGACGCTGTCGATTCGGCTCAAAAAGGCTGCCCTTAAGCGTTGTATTAAGGCCGTGAGTTGTATTCGGCTTATAGAAGAGTATAGAAAGCGTAAAATCCATCTCGGGCATAAATGCTGGAAACTGATCCAAACCAGATATATTATGAAAGTACAGCGGGCCCTGTAAGATAGGCATAGGCATTAATTAGGCACAATTTGAATTGAATCTCCTTTCATACCTCACTGATGGGACACACTTTTGCCAGATTGCTGTTCCTGATCATGTTCTGATAGACAAAGTACGCCAGTTTGTTACGCATGACGCCATCGCGCAGCAGCTTGCAGGCATCAAATGCTGAATCGAATAGTACCATTTCGGTCTTTTGAATTGGGCGCGGCACCACCAGCTGGTACTTGACCCACACCTCGGTGATGGGCTCTGTCAACTGGATATCGGAGCTCAGGTTGCCATCGTCCTGAATGCGACAGCTGTAGTTGCTGATAATGGGCCAGAGGTTCACGCAATCAAAGCTGGACCACTTCAGCACATAGCGCGATCGCTAAAACACGGCAACAGGCTTTAAACAGCTAACAGTTAAAATAGGTGCCTCTTGAGAGGACTTACGCGCGCTGCGTGTACAGGTGGCCAAATAGCCAGCAGCCAGAAGGTAACTAAGAAGCGAATGCGACAGATTTCGTTCATGTCCATTAGGGAACTGAATGGGCATTTAATATTTGCGACGATCGAAATATAATCAGTTATGCCTAAATGAATATGCTAACGGGCGAAAACAATTGGATTTTGATTATGTATTTTGTTGGGGCCACGTGACGTATGCGTAATAAATGCGATCTATTTTGTCACTGCCTTTTTTTCAACTGATTTGTGCAACTGATTAAGGATCACTATATATGGCATATTTATGCCTTGTCCATGCCCATGATTTATGCCTTGACGGCTGCTGTTGCTGCTCCACCTCCGAAACTGACAAAAAAACAAGAAAAAAAAAAAACTGAGACAAAACCCCAATTCAAATATCACATGCAATTTGTCAAATTGCGTTGCGGGTTCAATGATTTTTTCTTATATTCTTGATCTCTGCAAATGCGAAAATATTCATTGCGAATAGAATTTATTATTGGCAAGTGCAGTCAGCGTCGACAAATTACCTTCAATATTTTCTGTGCTCGTTGTTTTAGTTTTTTTTTATTTTTTTTTTTTTATTTTTTTGTTTGTTCTGCTGTTAATGAACTAAATTTGCGTTCGCTTTTGTGGGCGTCATTTTGAATTTCACTTGGGCGAGCCACTTGTGGTGCCGCTCTAAATACTATTATCAGCTAATTTACTTAAGAACAGACCCACAAATATGTGCATATAAATGCGTTAGTATCTATGTGTATCAGTAGGTGTGCGTGCGTGTGTGTCTGTGTGTGTGTGTGTGTGTGTGTGGGCTACAAGGATGCGTGCTGCAGCAGACGATGATTGTCGCTAGAGCTAATTGAAAGTCAATAAATGCTATGAAAATTAATTAAAAATGCACACAATTGCAACCTTGACATTGAAATCGAATGACAGACAACAAACATAATAACAGCAGCAACAACAACAACAACAACTGCAACAACAACAACAACAACAACTATGAAAAGTTCATGTATGAAAGTTGCCAGCGTGTTGGCTGGCGGGTTGCCGGGTTGCCGGGGCGGGACTGGGACAAACTTGGCACGCATTGTGAGCGGATTTTCACTGCAAAACAGCAGCAGCAGCAACAACAACAAGAACAACCAGAATATCAGCAAAAGCAACAACAACAACAACAACAACAGCAACAGCAACAGCAACAATGTTGTTGTATTGTAAAAAGTGAGCGGCATAGCAAACAGTTTGCCGGTCCGTTTCTCAATTTATCAAATGCATAAAATAATAGGCCTAGGCGCATAATTTAATGTCGCGATTTTAGAAGGCCGCACGGGCTTCTATGCATATGCAGATTAATCACGATGCAACAACAACAACAACAACCATTGCTGGCCACATGCATGTCGCATGTGGCATGTGTCACGCAACACAACCGGACAATGCAAATCTTGATGCACCCGATAAAGCTAACCCCAGCAAAACTAAGAGTATCATTATAATATTTAAACGTTTTTTTGAATTTCAGAGATAACAACTAGAATGATTCATGATTTTGTTCAACTTTACATTGAACTTGTCCTTACTTCGGTTTTTTGTTTTCGTCCGACGAACACTTCTAGTAATTTCCGTTGCTTTTAAATTGCGTTTCTATAGAAATCTTGCGTGCAATTGGAATGTAAATAGCTTAATTGCTTTATGCTACAAATCAAATAAACAATAGCGATGTGGGTAAGGTTTAGCTAAGCAACAATTTAATTGAAGTGTTATTATTATTAATGGAACTGTTTTGAAGTATTGTATTTTTAAAGCATAACTGAGTAAATGCTTAATTAAATAAATATTCAAACATTAAATATTTATAAAATTAATTTAATTTAATGCATCTAATTTGTAACCAATGAGAATAAGATATTGGGGTAATAGAAACTATTATAATTTCTAAATTAATACTTAATTGAGTTCACGAAAATTGCAATTGCATAGAATTAAAGGCGCCACGCACCTTAAAATGAAGGTTAAGCCTAATGAGACATACTTTTAATATACTTTTGCTCAAGCAAATATAAAAATATTTACAAATGGGCAGCACTTTCCAGTGCAGTACTGTTGCGATTTCGCAATTTGGTAACACTTTTATTTAAAACTGTCAGCCCATAAATGTTAAGAGTTTAAAGTGCCTGAAATGTGCTTTACATTATTGCCATGTCTTTCATTATGGCCATAACATTTTGCACATACCGAGACCAACCCACACACACGCAGACTCTGTGCGTTGTTACCGCAGCACGCACCAAGCAGCAAGCTGGGCCAGTCCCAGTCGCAGTCGCAGTCGCAGTCAGTCAGTCTCTTGGAGCCATTCACAAAACGTTTGCGGGCCCAAAATGTGATTTTAATTGCACAACAATTTTCAGTTGGCTTTTAAATGCGAGCCGGGCCCAGTTCTACATAGGCCTAAAGCGTGTTTTATGGGGCTATTCTCGTACTGCCCGCTTGACATATGTAACCCAATTCTGTCGCAGACTGTGAGAGTGAGAGCGAGTGAGGGAGAGAGAGAGAGAGAGAGGGCGGGCAGAGAAAGAAAGAGAACGTATGAGAGGCGTTGCACTTGCAATTTTTCAACATAATTGAACGGCGAACTTTTAATTAAAAGCGTGCTTTTAAAATAAATAAAATATGCGCACAAATATTCAACAGCAAAAAAATATGTAACGCCAATTGTGGAGGTCAACTGCAGTCAGCCAACCCAGAGACGTAGACAGACTGACAGACAGACAGACAACCTGTTCCACACACTCGGATCAATCTGCCAGGCCAGGCGGGCTGGCAGCGGCTTCCTGGCCAGTGTAAGCGCGCTTTCTGATTACAATACAATAAATTGTGCTTGGGGTCTGTCAAGGTTGCGATGTTGTCGGAGCTTCATTAATGAAGTGCCGAAACTTGGGCTCGTTGCCGGCACTGGCTGCGCCTGAGCCTGAGCCCGAGCACTTGCAACCACATGTAGCGGGCAACCGGTTCAAGTAGATGCCACCAGCAGCTTAGTCGCGCTTAATGCAGGTGGTGATTGCAACTTGTGGCCAGACAAAAGGCGCTCAGCTTCAAGGCTGCAATGCCCTTGGCTGACAAGCCAAGTCGGGCAACAGGCTCCTCCGAACTGAACCTGTTTGCACGCTCTGCACAGGCAAAAGGTTCTGGGTTATGCAACAATCCCTGTATCTAGGCGCTGTTCTCATGACCCAATTTTCAGACAGGCGTACCTAAAATTGGCAAACGTCTGTCATTTAATTTAAGCATCATAAATCGCATAATCCAAAAGGACTTAATGCCTTTTGGGAAATGTTAAATATGGCTTTACGTTAAGCCACAAATTACAACTCGGCAGCAGTTGGGCTCAACAACAATTTGTGCCTGCCACATGGACAATAACTGTGCTTGCACGTTTCTCTGCTTTTAACATTGAACTTGGGGTGAACAGCGTCAAGTTTAATATTTTATTAATATTTATGAAATCTTTTTTTTTTTTTGGGGTGCTGTCGTGCTTACGTTAGCCAGTTGCCAGTTGCCTCACGACGTTAACTGTCATGCAATCTAATGAGGTGATTCACATATTACGGAAAAATATTGGTATAAATAATATAAAGTAAAATATAGTATACCTATAAATTATGTAAGTACCTATGTGACAAAAAATAAATTGATATGCAAGCGAATACATAAATATATTTTAAAGAGCTATCCACATAAACAGTACAAGAAAGACTGCTCTAGTTGGGCATGGCCGACTAGCAGATACCCTAAGTACCCTTTACGAAAGTTCAAACAACTTCCCAGAAGCAGCTAAATTGAAAATGTGACAAAGCCTAATCAGGAAATCAATACTTTTCAATTTTATTTAAGTGTATGGACCCCGGTTCCTAGTTCTTTAAAATTAAAATTCCGCATTCCGTTTTCTCAATATCTGATTAACATTTGTGGAATTTCCTATTTGAGAAAAGAAACCTCTGTGAATGGCAAAATTCTGTTGTAATTATAAATACATCAACTTTAATTGGGATATTTTTTCAAGACAAACTCTTTGTTCATAAAAAAAACTCGTTTATCGACTGTTTTGCATTCGTGTAAGCTGTTCAATTTAATTATTCGCAGCAGTTCGACGTACTTTTCAAATTACAAATTTACAAAATTTGTGTGTTTAGTACTTTTATAAATTTTTAAAATGTTGGCAAGAGTTCTGCTCACTTTCTTAATCATCAGCATGTTGGGTTATTTCTATATTGTTTATTCGATGTTACCTTTGGGAATTTCCTACACAATCTTTGTTAATTTATATATTATTATTAAACAAACTGGTAACCAGCTTGTGGCGCAGCTTCAGCTTCCACCTACCTCAATGCGAACAATTCGATGCGATTTGATTTGTTTCGCTTTGCGTAGGCTCAAGTGAACAATTCCCAAAAACATAATTTTTGTTGAACGCGCGACGCGTGCAAAATGTCAACAGAAGGACAAACAACAGCAGAAATTAGAGTGTAAAGCAGCTGCAACAACAACAACAGCAGTAATAGCAATAAGTAATAATAATTATAATGCTCCGAGCGCTGATCATAAGCAGATCGACAACGACAGCGCCTGGATGACCCTGGGCTACAGCAGCAGCTCCAAAGAGTGTAGGCATAGCAACAACAACAATAACAACATGTGTGTGTGTGTGTGCAAAAAGTAAATAAATGTTAAATAAAGGCAAATAAATGCGTGAACAATAACAAGCATGGCCAACAATGCAGCGACTGCGCGTACTTAAAGCTAAAGTGCCTTTAAGAGCCAATTGATACTTATTATTTGTCCCACAAACGGGCACCTGGCTAGGCCAGAAACTTGGCTTTGAGCAGCTCTGACCTGCCCCAACAAACACAAGAAAACGAAAAAAATAAAACACAATTTGGCAACTTCCTGGTTAGATTGCGAGCTTTGTTGGCCAAAAGCGGCAGATTTATCTTTCTGTGGTACATTTTTGATTGACACGCCCTTTTATCTTAATATAATTTTTCTTATTTTTGGAGGCTGCCAACAAA